TTTCCGGGATATTGCTGTGCGCGGAGGAAAATATAAAACAGCGTATTTATACCATTCAAGTCCCATGATTTCCACCCCTCTAACTCTCTATCGCCACTCACAAATATACCGGTCGCAAGCGTTATCCAGCCGTGATTTATTCTGAATCGTGGACAAAATGGCCGTCACCAACCGGGTATCGGCCTATAAGTGTAAAATATGGATTCAATTTCTAGTCGTAATCGAGCACGAACAGATTTTGCGGTCGGTGGAGATTGATGCGCAACAGGGACATCAATCTCGACTTCTATACGCATATACATAAAACGTATATATATAATCGGCTGCTAGGTACTTACCCGCCCGCCTGATATCTCATCGTCAAGTCAATTCGTTTTCAGCGGACAGAGAAAACACGAAAGAAAACAAATAGATACGATTTCCCTTACCTCATCCAACGCCACATCACCACATCTGAATGAACACACGATATTGATTATTGTGCGTTATTTTTTTAAATTAAATCCCTTGTAAAAGGCAAAGTGAAACATATATAGCTGCAGGAGTATACACACGTGTACGCTCGCGCTTATGTTTTATGGAGATCCGATAGCTGCTACCGCCCTCGCACCAAGACACGGATATATTATTTAATATGTGTATACGATATCCTTGTATATATATGTATATATAAACTCCCTCGCACGTTATCTTTTTGGTGTGGAAATAGTGTTTACCTCCTCCAATCCTCATAAACCCTACGGTTCGTGTTGTCATTTGTTTTCTATGAGAATAAGGTTCGATGTGCGTTTTCGCTTCGTATATTCTAATTGTTTTCTACATATATTATATAATACGTATATAGGTAAGTATGATTATACATGTTTGTAAAGATGTGTGTTTGTTAATTGCAATTTGCACTGCTACTATATCGGGCCGGAGAAAACCGTTCCCTCGTTTTGTGTATTCCAATCTCGCACACATTCTGTCTACATAGTGGGTGGGTATAGACCTGTACACATAGCTGCTGCTACCGTCGTGTTTACTTCATTCCCATCATAATCATATGCTTTAATCTGCGTCGTACGTGGCACGTGAGATAAGTGAAGTATGCAAAGTCACAAATAAGATCATCTGCGTGTGTGTCGATGTTCCGGTGAAATCAGATTTGGGTAGAGGATTAGTATATAAAAGAGAATGGAAGGCACACGCCGGAGTGCATGCATGTATAATATAGTTGAATGTGTGTATATATACGAGCAATAGCAACTATAACTTTGACGACATTTATATATGTATACATATATATTTATACTATATATATATCGTGTATAGTGGCAGTGGTGACGAGGACAGTGGTAGTGGGGTATTTGTTTACTTTTTACACGAAGACAAGCATATATATATATATATATATCTTAAGTTATTCCACGAGCGTAGAACATGAAGTTCGTGGCTCGTTAAAACTCGACAAAAAGCTATTATTATTATACGTGGGTGGGGAAACCTCACTACACCTTCATCATATATCGTACACGCGCTTCAATAGGATGTATGACTTTTCAGCCTACGTAGTGCGCACACCATTTTTCAAACCGATCTCTACGTATATAAACTTTATACAAAGAAAACATATGTCAGTATTCCGCTTGTATAGTCGGCATTGGACGTCTTATAAAGTCACGCACACTTGACATAGAGATGCGATTCCGAGTAAGCAACAGATCGAACGTGCTAGAGTGAAAACAGTAAATCAGACGACGATTTTTCGCACAAAACCGGTGAACGAAAAACTGTCCGTCAGGTGTACTAATTTGTTTGTACACACTTCTCTCACTTCAATATCGTGCATCAACACCAGCACTGTACAATTTAATTTTCAACTGCGCCACATCGATTTTAATATTGTACGCCGTGTCTGAATCTCAGACATCTGTCTTACTGATAAGATTACTGTAACAGATCGATGTTTTCAATGTGATTAGGTCACGTACAACATACTGAATTTAAATTTGGTAAAAACAATTTTGAGATATAAAAATTACAACTGAAGTGAATATTGCTCGATATTAATTGCTACCAAAATTTTTATCATCATTTTAATAAATTACAAAATAACTTTTTTTCATGACCAAAAATGATGCGTATGGTGCAGTTGATATTGGTTTGCGTTACCATATGAGGGTGTGTATTTAATGATCATAAATAATTCTGCTTTAGCTACAATACTGTGTGGTTTACTGTAAATCCTGATTATATAGTTATTTCATAATGTTTCACGCGCCGCCCGTGAAGCAGCTGTTATTTAAATGTCGTAACGGACGAGTCCCGTCGTGGATTTCGGATAATCGTCATTCGATATTGACGACTAGGTTTGACGGTGTAATTAATACTACGACAGTGCAGTTATCGTACGACTTACGCGAAAAATAAAATAATTATAAAAGTTGACACTGATCCGACCACGTTTATTCGAATGAATTTTATAATAATATTATATCCGACAGCGCTAAAGCTGTGACAACTGCGGAGGCTGTCCACAGATAACCGTTCTATATTTTTTTATCGTTTCCACCCCTCTACAGAACATTTCGTGATAGGGAATTACCGGCCCACGAAAAAAAGACAATGAAGAATTCCAATACAGAGCTGGAAATCTTGAGTAGCATTGTAATAATAATATTGTTAGTGTTGTTTTACGAGAGTGAATGAGAGTAAGAGAGAATACGACAATCGCAACAATATAAAAACGTATTTTTTTTTATTTTTTTATTCAATTATGTTAATTTTTTTACCTCACAACATTTATTTTATTCTTAAAATTTCCATTTGCACAAAATAAGTACTCTATTCCCATATATATTTATACAGCACATATTGACTTTATTATAATACTATATATATATATATCATAATATAAATGTCAATAATTCGTTTTAAATACCGTACAAAAATATACGTTACATCTTTGAAGCAATCGCTTAGTTTCCTTATAATATATATTTAATCGGGTTGTAGCTGTGGATATGGATTTATTACGAACCGCTGTGACCTATATAATAGATATTTATATATTTTATGATGTACAATGAGAGTTTTTGTTGTCTAGGACACAGCAAACGTAATCGAGTGATAAAAAAAAAAAATAAAATAAAACAAAAACAATTCATTGACAATAATATGATTGTTGACTCATGCGATTATAGTTGAGAATAATAAAATACAAGACTTGAAAATAAAATGTGGAATATGCATATTAAGTAAACTACATTTTTCATTTTTATGTTCCAATAATTAACCGAAACTGTTTTGTATACACTTGTTTAATATTGTATTATACATATATTACATCTGCGTGTATTTTATAATTAATAATATGGTAATTGTTATAATTATTATTACGAATTTTGACTTTAAACACAACAGAATAATTATATACCTGGTGTGTATCTATGTACGTTGAGCTATAAATAGAATGTGTTTTTTTTCTGTCCTGATGTGTTTTTTTTTACTTCCGAGTAAGTATAAATGCACTTAAATGTTAAAAAACTATATATATATATATATAATATGTAGGCGCATAATATATTACTTAAACAGTGCAGCGTACACAAACTTAATGGAATGTAAATAATAATTACATTAAACATTTTTTTATGTATCACCGCGTTAATGGTATATCTGTATAATATATGTTATGCTTACAATCCTCATTTTTTTTTTTTACTATTATTTGTTTTATTTGAACTTTAATAAAACAATACAATAAGTATTATTATACGTATATTTGTTCTGTTATAAAGAACGTGCTCGATCCGAACATTCTTTTTTTCTTTTTTTTTTTAAAGTTCAATTTTTGCGTTCACGTCGTTAAGATGTACGGGTGTACACGTGTATAATATATTATAATATTATGTGTACACCAAGAAGACTATAAATCGTAATAGGTAACGGATTGTGTACGACGCGTACTACTAGAATATGTAGGTGTATATGCGCGTACGACGTGACACAGAAGAAAACGTCTACGGAAAGGCTAATTTATTCTATTAAATTTCACATGTACGCAGTGTATGTATAGGGGATTAAATTATATTATAATATACATATATGTGTGAGGTACTGATAATTTCGTATATTCGTTTATTTAATATGATATTTTCGTTTAGTTAAGGAAACGAGAACAAATATGTTATTATAATGCACGTTGTAGGTTTGGCACATAATTAACACTTTACATAATGTATTTCGAATAAAATATAATTCAATATTGAAATTCAAATATTGTGTAGTACACCATTAACGTTTATTAAGACAACAGTGGTATTGTAATTATTTAATTTCTTAAGCTTTCACGTGACACATAGTTTTATATAGTTTAGCTATGTGACGTATTTTTTATTGATACACATCCAAAAATAATTATTATCATTGATTACGCGCGTCCTGCGAATATTTTCCGATTTCCCCGAACAGCTGTATATTAAAATGCAATATAAATAGAAAATATTTAGAAGTAGCTTTAATAATTCGAGGAATTCAAATAGGTACTCAAAATATTATAGTACACCACTTAAATAAAAGTCACTGTCTGCAAAACTCTTCGGAACAAAGTGCTATTTTTGTATGGATTTATTTATTTTATTTTTTCCATCAGACGATTAATATTTAAAATGTGTATGAAAGGAATACAAAAATTTAAACATTTCGCACATTTCAATAAACGAGATAACTTTCGTGAAACGGATTTGTTAGGAAAAAGTGTAGGTACAAGTGAAGCTGCTTATGTGTAACTGGCAATATAGTATCTATTAATTAAACAATTTGAATTTTTTTCGTGATGGATTTTTCGAAAATCGAAAGGGGCTGTTGAGTTGAAAACCGGTTGAAAAACACTATTGATCCATATCGATCCGCGTATGCGATACGACACAACGACATCGGTTTAATAGTATATTATAAATTAATGAGCGCCCGACACGAACGACGATAATTTTATTGATACCTATACGATTTTGCAGACTTGTTACGAGATGGAACGGTACCTAAAGGAGGAACCGATGGTCTCGTCGTCACCCGCGCGGTCCGAGTCACCGTGGCTGACGACGTGGTCGACGCGCGTGGAGGTGGAAGTGGGCCTGGACTGTGCGAGCAGCGTGACGTCCAACAGCAGCTCGCCGTCGACGTGTTGGTCCGGATTCGCGACGCCGCCGCCCAGCCCACCGGACGAAACGGACGTTTCGCCGACCGTGGTGGCGTCGCTCCTGTCCTCGGCCGCAGCCGCCGCCGCAGCCGCCAAGGCCGCGGCTACCGCCGTGACGGCCGGCACATCCGGTCGGGCCGCTTCGGCCGCGGCCGCGTCCACCCACTCCACGCCAGTGGCCACCACCGCCTCCGGTCTGCTGAAGGTGACCGTCGCCCCGACCGCGTCTGGAGCCGCCGTCTGCCCGGCCAGCACGGTCAGTTCTGCGGCCGGCAGCACCATCAACGCCAGCACCAACACCACCGTCACCGTCAGCGGTCGGACGGCGGCGGCCGGCACAGCGGCCGCGGCGCCGACGACGATTGCCGCGTCGCCCGTGCACCGCGAGACCGGCGCCGTATCTGCCGCCGTAGTCCACGCTCCGGTGTTGTCCATCACCACGGCTGCATCCGTTGCGTACCACCCGAGGCTACACCTGTCACCGGACGCCGCCAAGAAGATACACAAGTGCAAGTATCCGGGCTGCGAGAAGGTGTACACGAAGAGCTCGCACTTAAAAGCCCACCTCAGGACGCACACCGGTAAGTCACAACGATTATATATTGTGTTTACTTATTTTTAAAAACGATTTATGGGGGGAGCGAGGGGCGGCAGTGCTGTATTCGGTTCGATGGGAAACGCGTGTTAATAAAACTAATAGTAATAAATACCTATAATATGAATCAATCGACTGATGCCGTCATTAGTTTACGCAGTGATTACATTTTTGCCAACTCTTTTGTTTAAGGAAATAAAAATATTTTTGATTAAATCGTTACATAATATGCGTTTATAACGGATCCAAATGTTATTAGAACATCGATATTTTTGCTCGTGGTTAACTATAGAACATTTCGAATTTCACCTTGCGAAGTACAATTTTCGTTTGTAATAAATCCGGACTATCAATACGACCATACCGATCTTACGCGTACAAATTTATTATGTATAATGTAAATTTTGTTTAGATTTCACAATATCTTATAATTATTAAAACTGTTATTATCCGTACGGTTGTTTATTGATTTCACACGAGACTTACAATATATTATAGTCAATTGTATGTAGTCAAAAAGAGTTTAACAGTTCATATTAACTGTGGGAAATATGTTTTGGTTTAGTGTTAGACCAAAGAAATCTTTGTAGTTTTTACGGGTCAGGTTTAAATATTTAAAACTAACCTATTTACCGATTTCTAATATAATCACTTAACGTGAAATTACCATTTATACTCAAACCATCATAGCTTCCGCTGTAGAAAATACATTAATACTCATATTAATAAAATGTGTTTATAGTACTATGTTTCAAGAAACGATACATTTCGGAATTATTATACGCGCTGTAATGACTTTCATACCTAACAATAAAACCGTATACCACGCATTTGCCTTACGAACCGTTTCAATTTATTTGTTTTTCGACAACCTATAACGAGTCAAATTGAAAATGCTCGACTCATAACTGTGTCTCATAAAATACGTAATAGTTTATTAGTATTGGGTTTCGAATAAAATTATTGATTATTTTCATTCTCTAAAGAATCGACTACGAAATGCCAAAAATAGTGAGTTTTCTGTGGCATTTTATTATACCGATTGTCGATTGAATGTCATGAATGAGGTGTGTAATTCACACGATAAATGTATGACGATGATGACCTTTTTAAGCTGACTTCTTCAATCCGGTCGAGAGTAATTGCAGTTTATACATTTTTTTCTTTACATACGAATTAGATGGTCTCTATTTATAATATATATATACATATTATATAAGTGAATATAAGTTTTATTTGTATTTGTATCGCGCATTCATGTGTATATAATTTAGTTTAGCCCCCCCCCCCCCCCCCCAAAAAAAAAAGGTGAACAGCGATCGGCTAGGTTTTGTGAGGGGAAAACTACCAGATCTGAAAATGCATTGTCGCCGATAAATTTCCTCCGTTACATTATACCGGATCTGTAGTATTTATACAAATATATATATATATATATACGATACAATAGTCTTCGTTGAGGTTTTATTTTTCCACTCTACTGTTTTCATTATTATTATTATTATTTATTTCTCTCTGGCGCGGCGGCAGCAAAACCCAGCGGACGCTTTCTTTGTAATTTAAATCCCACCCTCGCTCGCTCACCATCTCACCACTATTTGATGCGGTAAGGAAATCCCTAGCGAATTTTTCGATTCCACTCTTTCTCTCACGTGGGCGTATAAACTATACGTACACACTACACATCGGGATTTTACGAAACATAGTATATGAGCGTGAATACAGTTTGCGATCGATATTCGTTCAGGATTCCAGTTTTCCTAGTACAGCCGCCGGCACCGTCGATAAAACGAATTCCGCGGTTTTTAGAAGTCGGTCTCTAATTAAATATCGACTGCTCTTCTGCTATAGGACTCTCCAAATCCGTTTTAACGACCACCGTTTGTTACATCGTTGATTTCGAATTTATATTGAGTGGCATTTTTCAGATGAGAGTGGTATCATTATAATGGTATTAAAATATCCAAACTCCACCGAGTGTGAAACAGACGTATATAGTATTATACAAGGCTTGCAGACTAAACGTCTGGTGATTTTCAAACCAAAATTGTTGACTTTAGCTGCTATAATACTATCGTCTAGAGTCTAGATCACGAGAAGATGAAATCGTTATCGCGGAGTCATAACCATAGTGGTTGATTTTAGGCATATCCGTTGACACGTTCACGAACTGGGACAAAAAAATATTTAATTTCAATGCCATTTTGAAAGTTCTTCCGCTGAATTATCGCTATAGACTTCGCGTCAAAAATGACATAAGTCACCTCGCTACTTCGATAACAGGATTTTAAATTTTTGGAGCTTCGAGTATACGTATAATATTTTATCATCGCTGCAATGTATAATTTAATATTTATGGCTTAAAACTAAAACTAACTGAGAAGGTAGTACAAAAAAAAATTGAATATCATGTAATAATAACTTCGTGTAAGCCCCACACTTTTGTACTCTATTACGTATTATCCTAACACAAATACCTAGGCTCGTGGCGTTTGCTGAATTCAGAATTCGGAATTATTACAAAACGGTAATAACATTATAATCGTACAATATCCGCCACTATCACTGCTGGTAATGCTCGTTTATAATAATTAATTCCATACGGTTTCGTCTCCGGGAAGAGTTTTACAGCGCGCATGTCGTCGATTAAAACGAAATTAGCATCTAACACGGTGGTTAAAGTTAAAACATATTATAAATATATCAGTGGCGTGTGGTAAGGTGATAGTAAATGTGGTATTCGAGGTACGCTGGTGATGAAAACAATGGTTTCTCCGCCATTATATTATTATTATAATACAACTACGGTGTTTACGGACTCGTCGCCCGATTATAAAGATAGACTGCATGTATACACATAATAATAATATAATGCACAGACCCGGCTTTGGGTCACAGGCCAAGTATAATCCATGAAGTTCTACTTTAAAGTTTAAGTTAGGTTATTGTGTTATAAATTATACACACTACACCAGTACACAACATCGGTTAACTGATCCTAATTAGGATGACTAAATATTATAAAATCGGTATTTTTTATCGATATTGGACAACAATGAATTGGTTTTATTTGATACAAATCGGATAAAAATGATTAAATTTTGTTTTTCTTAGTACAGTTTTAAATTTTAGTGTAGGTCTTATCCATGAATAATAATTATATCATAAATCGTCTAAGCCTTAAAGAGATTCCATGCTTCATAGGTAGGTACATAGCTGATATGCGTATTATTGTTGATATTTTAAATGTCTTCAGTTTTCGACTTCCGATTGTATTTATTATTTTTATAGTTATTGTTGCACGTTTTATATTTGTTTTTATAACTCTTGCGTGCCCTTTATACTTCAGCTGCTACATTCCCGGGATGTATCATAAAATGTACAATTTTAATGTATGTATTAAAAAGAAAAAATATGAGTGCATATACACTTGCAAGAACACAAAATGAGTTTGACTGTTTCAGAATTTGATGATCCCGGGAGATGTTGTGGAGTTTATGATTTCCTTGGTAATTCACTTGAAGATTCCTATAGGAGTTATACCTCGTGTGCAATAAATTTTCAGCTTACGTGAAATAAATAATAATATCGAAAAGTTGCAAAAGCCTCTATAGTTATTACTGTTGAATACTTCCTACTGTGACACATTTTTTCGTTCAAATTTTCGTGTTAATTATACCATTTAAAATAAATATTTTTTTTTTTAAAATCCATAAAGACAAAAATTGTAAGAGAATATAGTTATATATTGTGTTAATGCGCACTAATACTGTCGTCATCTCTTAATTGGATTACGGAACTTGAAGACGTTTCAGAATTGTTAATCGATGAATATTTATCTTTGTGATACAAGAATTATTTAAATTTGCTTGTTATTATTATTATTTTCGAAGCGTTATTTTTACATAATTTAACAACGGATGACAGATACTTTTGGGGAGAGAAACTATAATATTATATAGTATACTACTCATTTCTGAATATAAAGTTGGAATACGTGGGGCTTAGTCGATTAAATTAATGTCAAGACCCTTGTTTTCAAAATCTGTCTACGGCCCATTTAAAGACGTTCCTTGCAAAAACAAAAATACATTTAATGTACATTTCATTGTTTGCCCGAACAAGGCTTAGGATTATCTTTACCGGCCCGAAGTTTATTCTACACGCTCGTTGTCCTCATTGTTATATGGATGTTTACAAATTCACTTTAGTTTAATTTACCGAGATTTTTCGCCCGTACACATGTATACCGTATGTGGCAATTTTATAAACCAATCTCCTGTTAGTTGTATTTTATTTTTCCTCATTTTTTTCAAACTATATACTTTACTGTTGTGTTACTATCACTTTATACCGTTTTGTTATAGTTAATAATACTAAATTCGAACTCGAGTGTGCCTAACATAAATTCTATTTGACCACTTGATACATAAACCCCATTAAGTACATAATTCAAGTATCTATACGTCTAAAACGTTTTGTGCAAAAACTGGTTTTTACGATAATATATTTTTATATTTTTTTTAAAATCATAATTGTATTATATAATATGTTATACGCAAGCTCGTAAGTTATGAGTATCGTTCTGAAATTTCCACAATGTGTAATATTATTATATTATGTCACTACAGAGAATTATTTTTTTTACTAAACGCTTCAATGATAATTTAATGTTGATTAGTCACGAAAAAAATGTTGATTCAGCAATTAAGTATATAAGTATTAAATTAGCAATGAGTTTATACTCGTATAAGTGCATCAAATTTAAAGTAACTTTGCAGTTGACGTTTCGATACACCGTTTTTTATTTTTATATTTTATTTTTTACCGAATGCGAACAATCTACGGGACATTTAATAAAATGTAAATAGTATGAGATATATTTAATTCAATGTTTTCTTCATATTATGACAATAACTCTTAGTTATTTTTCCGTCTTCGTTAATAGAGTTGTCGTGTGTAGATTTTATTTCGTCCTTTATTTTT